AGTCACTGCCTATACTTGCTTATATACGAGATTCTAAGCGCAGAGTTCTAACTGATCAGCGCTCTGTGTGGCAGCGGACTTTTCCGCTCGAAGGGTGGAACCGACGGCCTCTGAAGACGACGATTCAGTCGAAACGTTAGGCCATTAATAAAGGTTCCACCGAACAACCTCGTAAGGCACAAGAAAATTTGTTAAACTTCTAAGCGCAGAGCCTGAAGGGACTTTTCCAGCGCGATTGTACGATAGGAATACACCATTTCATCGGCTTGAGGGGCGCCCGGAACAGCGCTGGCTCGATACGTTGCACAAAGACTTGAAGTCGGTTAACATCCACCCCGATCAAGCATTTAATCGGGAAAAGTGGCGTCAGCATATCAGAAAAGCGGACCCCGCCAACAAACGGGACAAACGCTAAAGAATAAGAAGATCAACAGCCTAAGGGAAATGTCAGCACGATTTTGATCATTTGCTAGCGGCCTTACCTTACGAGATTCAAGTCAGGCAGTTGAACATCGGATGGTAAGGCGAGACGCGCAAATGCAAGGTAGCCCAGTATTTGAGAGCGCGTTCTACTCGAATTGCAAAGAGTTGCAAATGCATGGCGTATTCAACTAGTGCTTATTATTCGCTCCTCCCTGCACTTATTCACTTGGGTGCTTCTCTTTTCGAATCATGAAAGTTTTTGAATCTCTACATCACCTGTTTCTAGAACTTTCCTCTAGCTTACATTTTCAAACACGTACAGATTCCCTGCGGAAGCGGTTTTTCGACGATTCAAGGACGGATTCGGGTTGTTTCCGGCGCTACGACTTTGACATCCTGAGACGTCCCAAAAATAGCCTCCGGGGAGTGTCCGCCAAATGGTGCCTCGTTTAGCCGGCGAGTGCTTTTGCGTGAAAGGGACATATCAAGCACCTCCCGTGCGTCATGTTCCTTCGAATACATAATCAGGCTGCGACGACGAGTTGGTCGTCCGCCCACCTAAGCACTCGCCTCACAAATCTACTTAGACATTCGTAACGTTGTGTGAAACCCCCGCAGCCGGGCTAAGGAAGCGGCTTTCGAAAAGCTTTTCTCTAACAGGGGGAAATATCGCTCTCTTGAGGTGTTATTCCCACTTTAAGCCCCAAATATGAAGTTGAGAGCAACATGTCCACTCACTTCATTCTGGACCATGTGACACCGTTCGTATCGCATTTCGTGCACAATTCCAAAGACGTCGATGGGCCGATCAATTTGTATTGTTTGCAGAAGACGATCGATTGCAATGAATGTACCCGACCTTCCGACTCCAGCACTGAATTTGAAATTGTTTTACTAATTGCCCAAGCTGATAGGAACTACTTATTAACGACTTGTTGCAATGAAATGCATACCTGCAGTGAACGATGGTCGGCTTGTTCAAGGCAGAGTGCGGCAGCCTCGAGCGGAACATCAGAGCGAAGCTACAATAGGAATATTTGAAAAAGAACCTTAGTAGAGATTCGCCTATTTGGTGGTCTCATAGACAGAGACTAGCCAAGAAATGCTCAATTATTTGAGAGCATGAGACTGAAAACGACCAGTGCATTTTGGACATCAAAAAGGTGTGGGATAAAGGATAAAGGAAAAGCATTAGTGGTTGATCAGTCTCTTTTTGGGCGGCAGCACACATTCTACCATTTCTATTTGTACATTCGCAGTGACACTTTGAATGCGATTTGGCCTATAATAATGACTTGCGGGGGCCAGCCGATGTACAAGTCAGTGTTTATTTTTTTATCCTCCCAGACAAGGTACCAATTAACCGACCCTGGAGAAGTGAAAGACTTGGTTGGCCCAGACTACGCGCAACCAAGGATTTGATCCTGGGATCGCGTGGGTATTAAGCAGCGCCTCTTGGCACACCGCTTCCTTCGCTCAAAGGCTTTTGAATTGTGGGAAGGTGTGGAAAATTTGTCCGAATCTACAATAGTAGAGAAACTACGATAATGAGCTCCGACGAGATCCTCTACACGTTTGTTATTTATTTACAGAACGGAGTCATCGAACTATTTGGCAGAAAAAAAACTCGTTGCAAAAAAGCTTACCGAATGATTCCCTGCGGATGATCGGGCACTCCGAAATCCGGCCAAGCCATGTAATGAAAGTGCCATATAATCCGTGATGGCGTAGAATCGTGCAGCTTTTTCAAACGCAATTCACGAACAGTGAAATCTTCAAACGACGACTCATTCAGCAGTGTCACCTAAACATGAGGATTTTGGATGAGTAATCGGATCGAGTCCTACGAAGATCCTGTTTACCTCGATATCCGAGTAAACGGGGACGTCGAATGTTAAACATCAGCGCCAGTATTTGTGGATTTATTCACGCCCTTTCTCACACACGTTCGTTAGGGCAAATAATTGCGGGCAGTGATGCTCCACGCCAATTCTGAAATAAAGGATAAATTTGCTTTGAAAAGTTTCCAAGAGAAACGACTGCAGAACTTTCTTGACCTGCCAAAAAGCGTCTCTGGTTGTCGGTAACGGCCCCTGTGCGGCGATGAATTCCCGCCTCGAAGAGTAGCCCTTAACAAAGACAGATTAGGCATTTTTACAACAAATCCAAGCCGCAGCGAAAGAAAAGAGATCCAACAAACCGGCATGAAATTTGCGTTGACGTAGTCGTCTCCTTCATGATCACCCGTCTGCATCAATCGAACACGGGAATGATCATAAGGAAGAATGTTTGTAAATCTGTAAGCAGAAAATTTATCGATTCTGATCAGAATCCAAGCTAGCAACATCTTGGCAAGTTCCGGCTTCGGATCTCACCTGTTCTTTGGCTTATTTGCGGGCAATTCTGCAGCCGTATATGATTGTCCGCATCCAACATTTCGAAGAATCTACAAAGGAAGGTATTAACATTATTGTCCTATTTCACTTCGTTATCAAACTGAAATCACCTCATACTCCTTCGGAAAAGCCGGAAATCGGAATCAGCAGCCATCATACGAACATGCTCAGCAAAGTCCGCTATCTTCACAGGACGGCTGGAAATAGTTACTTCATTCAGAATTACCTCCTGAAGGGTTTGAGTGTGATAGGGGCAAAGGCGCTGCTCCCAACAGGTGCATGGTCCGGAGATAAAATTCGGACCGTGCACGTTGGAAGCAGTGCCACTTGTTGGGCCGTTCGTACGCTGTGCAGTCAATGCCTTCCACGTCTTCGGCGTCATTTCCGGTGTCAAATTGTCTTGTACTGAAAGCAACAGCTGGCCTCTGCGTATGATTGTAGAGGCCAAATCACATCAGACTGCCGTACGATCTGAAGTGGAGGCACAAGGGTGCGGCGCATTCCAGAAGAGGTTAACATGACGCAGTTAAAGCCTGCCACTTGCTTACACTGACTTTGAAAGCCTTGCTCCAATAATACAAAAGTCGGCACATTATGGCCCCCTAGCATTATTGGTCACTTTCGAGTGGGCCACGCACTCGAATCCTCGTAAAATTTGGAGGATTACACCTATCATGATAAATTACTGATTACATAAATCTCAATCAGGCGACGTCTCTGTGATCAGTTCCATCCCACTAAACACATCTCATCGGCTCGTTAGCTCGCGAGGATTAGAGGCAATAATTTGCGAATGTGACACAGCGCCTTCAGGACGTGCACTGACAGGCTTCTTTCAAGAGGGATCAGTGCGATATTTGGGGACGCTCATGCGAAGGGTAAGCGGTCAGTATGTCTCCGGCAAATAATTTACCTCTTGTTGGTGTTAACACCCGTGATCACCGTGTAGAGCGGAGTTTTGTTGATTGGACCGCTTGGAAGTCGTTCCAAGCGATGATCGACGCCTGTTCGCTCTCTCAAACTGCGACAGCTGAAAGGGATCAGTGTTTCTTACGAATCTTCATCCATTTATGAAAAGGTTCGAGTTAACCAGTTTACTTAAACCTCCCAACTTACCGTCGATGGTGTCCGAATGAAGGTTGAAGATGAGACGGCTGACTGGGTATGTCGTTGTTGTGCATGGAACCGTCGAGCCCCAGTTTGGCCAGACAGTCTGCTGCTCGCTCGGCCATTATCATTTTGAGTGCAGCCCACTGGGATTCCTTCGACGACGCGTATGCTGCCCTGCAAAATTCCCACTGAGCATTTTCAAAGTTGAGCAAAAGCTTGAGTGAGAGAAACGTTTCCACATGAGCAGAACAGCGACTGAGCATAGAACTCAGCCGCTTGACTCCAAGCAAGTTTCCTAATCTTTTTTGAATACGAGGTCGGATTAAGTGGGCGAAACCTCAGGAGTTATTCGCATTATAGCATTGAGAACGTTATCATGCAAGATTTAAAGCCTCACGTCATAAGCTGAGCATGAGCGTAATCGCTGAATCCGAGCTAAGAAAAAGAACGTTCGATGACAGAGAAGGATAAGTCGTTCGAGTGTGGGCCTCGCTATATTCTAGTAAGGTCGAAAACAAAATCTCTTCAAGAATGAGCGACGATTTTTCATGGATTTTGTATTAATTAAAATGACCTTCTTTGGAAGAGGTTATTTTAACTAGTACAAAATCCATGAAAAATAGCCGCTCATTCTTGAA